CCTGACTTTTGCATGGTGACAAATCCACGGTTACCTTGGGTAAAAATTTCAATATTGTTTTCTTAAAAGATGATTATCTTTTCTTCACAATTTTCTTCAGAACGTATTATAATCATCTCCACTTCTCTTATACTCTTATTCTTTTCTTCACCTTAATCTGGAAATCGAGTGCAAATGTGTGTATGGTTACGGCTGTTCCTCCTAAAATGTATTATGGGATTTAATTGAGAAAAAGGGGACTCTTAAAATTTCAATGTTACTATTTTATTTGGTTGTCATGACTTGAGTGTTGAGCATGTGTTGTATTGAAATAATGGTTGCTAAATATAATGTTTTCTCTGCTGTTTGGGTGTGCCATTTGAGAATGATAACATTGACTTTGAGAAATTTTAAGCATGCACATAATTTTCTTTTGAGTTATTCGTGTGCATGGAGGTAAAAAAAAAAAGGGAGTCAAGGTCACAATTTGGCACAGCTGGGGAATGTGGAGTGTTTAGGTGCAAAGGGAGAACCTTGGGGGGTAGTGAAGAGGGGGTTGCCCCAATGGCGCAGAGTAGCTCACCGTGGCTGGGACACGTCACCATCAAAGCCTTCATTAATCCTGATGCGAGCAAGCATTGCCGAGAATCGTTGAATAACTCATTCCTGAGAAACAGAGATAAAAATGGGGGAAAATACCCCTGGATATTATGTAAAGAGTGTGATTATAGGGAATGAGGGTCTTCGATCACCTTGACTGGAAGATTGCTGGAAATTGAGGAAGAAGTAGTATCCTAAGTTGCATATATTTGAACTATATTAATGATTATCTTTTGTGACTTTACTGCGTTTCGTGACTGTATAGTTAGATACATACTTGATATTATGTGTTGCTTGGACTCTGATTTCTCGTTTACCTTTATGCCATTTAATTATCTTGTTTATTTGATCACTAGGGGATTAGCTTGTTGGAACTCACCCTTTCTTTCGTGATTTTCCCTGTATGGCATTTCCCCTGTGTGGTTGCATAACTGTGTGACAGATGGATTCACATCGAGCGATAATTTGGGGGGAGGACTCTGGAGGGAAGGAGGCTTGGACGTTCGACCCAACGACGCGCCGTCTCATATACCAAGGGATGATCTTCATGACTATGGGACCTCTCGCTGAAAATGGCTGAAAGCTTAATTGGAATGACCACATTTTTGTCGACATCTTCGTGCCTCTGCCTCGTGAGAGAAGTATCATTATTTACTCACCTCCTCCTTCTCTACCATCTTAAGAACCCCCTGCCAAACGACTTAAAACTTTTGTTGACAAAGGTAAGACCATCATTGACCTTGACTCAGAGCCTACTCCCTGTCTCAGCCCTACTCATGCACCTGAGTAGAAAAACATCGAAGTTGTTGAGTCTTCCATCAGACCAATACCCCGTCACTCCCTACGAATTCAGGCACCTTCTTCCGATGAAGCTGGACCTTCCACCCGACGCTCTTCACCACCACCACCTACCTCTCGTTCATCCCCACCCATTATCGGTTGGATCGACAGTGATCCGGATGACCTGCCGCCCTCTCCTCGCCCTCAGCCAATGGATGATTCTCCCGATTCTAGTGGAATGGAATTTGACCCTAGTGAGGATTTCCTTCCGTTAGAGTTTTATTTATAGATTTTTATTTTATTTTGTCATGGATAAACACTGCTCATAGGTTTTGGGTTGTTTCGCTACTTTTTGAAATACTAAACTTTGGGGTTTTGTTTTACTGTGGTTCTACCTTGAACATTTTGGCTGGATAATTTTGCTTTTTATATATATATATATATACTCCTCGTTATACTTTCAGAATTTATTTCAAACGGTATGCGATGCTAAGCACTTATTTCAAATGTTGTTATGAAATTGTTTCCACGAATGTTTAGAGTAATTAATGAAAATGATTGGTATGTTGTTAAGATACTGGATTAATTAAATATATATGACCTTGTAATGAGCAGACTCAATGGAAGTACTTTGCTGAATTTATTATTTTTTTAATTTAGCTTGAGTTGCTGCGATGAACTGAATTATAGTTAAATCGATATTACAATAGATTGACACTATTAGTGTTGAATAACATGAAAAGAGATTCTATTATGACTATCCGTGAGTGTGCCTACGAATGAACCATGAAAACTGAAAGTCAAAACTTATTCCTTTGTGAAATGGATTGTAATTAGTAAATAGATTCGATAAGATGTTAATTTGCATGAGTTCTTGTACACGTTTATCTTGGGTGCACCGCCTTATAGAAGCCTTAAATTTCAATATAATAAGATGGGATCTTGGTAGAAATTAGGTGTTACAGTGATAATTTTGCAACTGTCTTATTCTCTAAGAATGATAAGTATCCAAAGGAAGTAAAGTATATGGACTTAAAATACTTATCAGAGAAAGAAGAAGTATAGAAACAAAAAGTGTCCATTGAGCATATTGGTACTAATTTGATGATAGCGGATCCGCTAACTAAAGGATTGCCTCCTAGAATATTTTTTGGCCATGTTGGAAGAATAAACATTATAGACAAGTCCTTGTTAGTATGATTTTATGATTCACATATATGTGTATAGATTGTTTTGCTCATATTATTATAGACAATTTTAGGAATTCAATAAAAATATTGTTTCTACTTATTTACTTGTTATCAAAATTGTGTTAATGTATATGTATGATTTGAGTTTGATAACAGGTTGAGTGTTGAAAATACATCAGAGTTGTAGTCTGTAGTATGACTGATTAAATTTATCTTGATTTGAGTTGGTTCTGAGATACTTAGAAAGAATCATGTTGTTAAATGACTTGTGACCGCCATGATCTAATCAATTCAAATCATTGAAAGATGATGATGATATTATCAATGATATGTGCACTTATAGTTCATTGAATTTTTAAGTTGTCACATAGGCCAAGAGAGAGATTGTTAAATTATTTTAATACTTATTATAGTAGCTTATGTAACTTATAACATGACTCTAATTAATGATTTAATGTGATGGTGGTTAAATATAAAATATAGAGTCATTGAAGGTATAATTATAAATACAATTATAAAGAAATCATCTCCTCTCCCTTCAAATAAATAAAAGAGTAGTTACCAAATAAAGGTCACGACTTTCATTATTGAGAGCATCATTTTCTCGCAAGAAAGACACTTTCTCTCAACCATCCGAGAGAAGCTAAAAGAGGAAGAAAGAATTGAAAAAAATATAAAGAACTTAACGACATCAAAGAGAAAAGTAACATCAACTAAAAATAGATTCAAGTTAATGCTCTCTAAACCCTTTAATTGTATAAGAATCATGTATTGTGTTGTGAGCACAATATAATTTAAGATCAAATAGAAAATAATAATTTCATAATAGTCATGTCAAATGAAAATTACATAATGAAATAAGAAAATCTAACATATTTAATTTTAAAATATATTCTTAAAATATATACATTTATAAAATATTTAAGATATAATAACTGTATTTAAAATATTTAATAACTATTATTTTTTAATTTAATATTTAAGATATAATATCTATTTGAATTAATTTTTTTGTTTTAAGAAAATATATTCAAAATATTTTAATTATTTATTTTTACTGAAAATCAATTTAAACATGCTTTTAATCTTATAAGACATAATAAAAGACTTAATTCTATTCAAAATAATAAGTATATGATGTTGCTTTTTGTTTTTTATTTTTATGAAAATACTTAGCTGTGTATACGAAACAAATATAATTTCAACTTACTTTGATATGTCAACTGACTTTTGCTGCATTCATAGTTTAATGTTTATATTATAAATTGAATTAAAATATATAAGTAATATAAATATATTGTCATTCGACTGTAAATAATGGTATCATTAAAAAAATTAAAATTTATATCTAAAATAATTTCAATTGATTAATAATATATTAATATTTATACTAAAAATATATTAAAATTAAAATTTATATCATGTTAATTATTTTATTGTTTTATTATGTATGAAACTGATAGCACCTAGTTCGTAATGTAGGAAATTGGTTGGAGGATATTTATAAATTTTATATTTATTTTATCTGAGATTAATAATATCGTAAATGTGCATTAGATTTAAACAAATTAAAATTAAATTTGATAGACATATTAATTTAAAGGAATAACATTCTCATTGTTGGATCGGATGTTAAATTTCATTTATAAGTATAGAATTCGAGACCTTATTTAAAGAATAAATATAACTTATCATCTTTTAATTCAACAGGTGTTAACATAAAGTAAATACTTATATTTATATATCTATTTAAATTTTCCTCAATCTAATATTATATTTTACAATTTAAATTATCATCTATATAAAATACATATACACACAAATACAAGAGTTGTATTTAGCAATAAATTAATTATTATATTTTATAAAAATAAGAAAAGTAAATTTATAGTATACAATAATACATAAACAAATAATATTAAAAGATTTTAAAAGCTATGTAATAACTTGAGAAAGTCGTGTAACTTTCTAACCAAACTCACATAATTTGTAGATTTTAATTTTAATTATTTATAATAAGATTTAATTCAATGATTGATGTTTATTCTTCTCACTATTATATATACATATGAATAAAGATTAAGTTTCTTTAAGAGTAACTTTGTCACCTAATCACGCCTTATTAATATTAAATTTTATGAATCTAATCATTAAATTATTTTTTTATTAAAAATATCAAATCTAAAAGAATGATACAAAATAAAAACTAATAATTTTTTTACAACTTTATTTTAACATCTAATATACATTTTTAAAATAAAATAAGTATTAATTATAAAATACATATTTATAAACGTTTGATTTATCTAAAATTCAATATACATAATTAACATGCATGGACACATGATCATATTAAATAATTAAATAAATAAGATTCAACATTCATAAAAATTATTAAATAAATTTATCTTAAAGTTACACTGTGACATAATTCCTGCTATGTATATAATCTTAAATAAGAAATCTAGAGAGCCCCACTTTATCACCGGTTTGCATGACATCGTTCTGAATCTGTTGCCTATACTCCATCAAAGTGAATTTCCTGTACACAGCTGGTTTGCAGTGGCTTTCTATTATTGCTTCGTCGGAAGGGCCATAGAAAAATGCCATAGAGAACCTCTCTGCCTTCTCAGCAGCAACCACTCGGTGTTTTATGCTTTTATAAACGCCATTGCTCAATGCCTCCACATTATAGGACACAAATTAAAATTTAGAAGGTGAAGGATCTTCCACACCTAAATTTAGTCAACGAATATAGGACATAAAATTTAAATAATTTAGGGTATTTAAAAAAAAAAAAAAACCTATTTTTGTCAACCATTTTCCGGACACTGGTGATGAGCTATTTGATTGGAGTCCCTAGATAAAGAAAAAGTTCGGCAAAACTTAAAGCAACTTGATGCATGTTAGATATTATGCTTTTATCTTCACTTCAACAAGAATTGTACCATTGTTAATACCTTGTGACGTACTCATTATATTTGCTTTTGTTGAACTCATGGTCATATTTTCAAGCCGTTTTGGTCCATTGAGATTTCATGAAATTTTGGTGGGTTTTTAATCATCATATGGAGTGCTAACTGAAAATGAAACCACACATATTGGGCATTATATATTAAGACACGCCTGAGTAATCATTGTCCTTTTGAAAATTATCATGTATACCAACATGCTATGTCAAACAAGCAAATTCAACATGAATTTACAAATTTAGTTAATCTGAGAATAAAATGATTTCAAATTTTCATACAATATCTTTTTACGAATCTTTCTACTTCATTATTTAAAAAAATTGATTTTTTTAATCTTTTCAAGATGTAAAATATACTTAAAATTTTTATTTATTTATTTATTTATTTAATATTTAAAATAAATAAAAAGATACTGTATATACAAAAATATAGCACTGCTCCAAAAAATGAAGAGATTCTACCTGAAATAAGTCACCAATATTAACAACTAGAGCTTGTGAATTAGGCTTGACACCAACCCATTTTCCATCTTTCATCAATTGCAATCCCCCAACCTGGTCTTGATATACAATGGTAAGAAAACTAGTGTCACTGTGAGGCAACAGGCCATGCACCTTTGAAGGTATAGGGCATGGAGGATATCTGTTTAGTCGAATGAAAGAACTCTTTGGCAAACAATGCTCACGGAAATAGTCGGATTTCATATTCAATTTGCAGGCTAGTATTTCTGCCAAGCTTTCCGCTAGGGGGAACATTCTTGTTGCAAAAGCTTCAAGGCTTGATCTAAAATTCAAAAAGTACTTTTATAAGTTAAGGTAATTAAAGCATGCTCATAAAGTATAATAACAAATAAATAGTTCCAGTGCGAATAGTGATGATAGTCTCAAATTTTGTTCCTATCTCACTTCTTGATTTTTCTATATCCCTTCTACTGTCTATGGTAAACAACTTTGTTTTTATCTATATACTAAATTGCTCGATTCAGTTGAAATAGCTAAAAATTAATGAAAGAGGAACATATACATTTCCTACATCATTTAGAAGATTAAAAATGGTGGAAATTTATATCCATGTTCTTAAGTTGTGTTACCTTAATGTATTATTTTGAAACATATACATGAACTATCTAGAAGTGCAGTCATGACTCGTACTCTAATTATAATAAGAAAAAAAATTCAATTTCTCTTACACATAGTATTACTCTTAGTAAGTAGTAACATTTTGATTCTTCAGATCCCAAACGAAGCATAGATGAGCTCAAGGGAAAGGTTATTCATAGAATAAAGTGTTTGTTTTCTTCCAGTAACAAGATAATAAAAAGAGTACAAAAATACTCAAACCCTTTAACACCAAAGTATATACGTATCTGCATAATACATTGGAAAAGACACAAATATCAATATGAAAAACCTACATTCCCATCCAATATTGTTGAGAACTCTTCAAGATATGATTATAATAACATTCAAGACTTTCATCAAATTAAGTGGCTCGTACATGAAAATGACTCCTTTTTTTTCTCCAATCAAAGACTTCATAAAGAAGATTTAATTTTAAAATTCTATTTATAATTATTCAATTACCTACGGATTTTTTTACGTTTTACACTATATTACACTGCATACCGTTTGTGTCGTTTCAATCATTGAACTTTGAATAATTCATTTTCCAATTATTTTTTCACCTAACTTTACATCCATTGAAAAACAGTGTGCATGTTTTTTCTTTCTTTCTTGTCTGTTCCTATCTCTTGACTAATCAGATATTTTACAAAAGAAAATTGTAAGAATGTAAAATAAAAGTGATGAAAAATATACATTAGATTTGTCAAACATGATTATCTTACATGACTTAGTGCCTATTTTGTTTAAAGTTGAGTACAATTAATGTTGATAAAATTAATTCCAAACCGTTAAATGTAACAGAAATACATATATAAATTCATGAAAATCACATATTGTTATCATAACGTTTATATATATATATATATATATAAAAGAAGTGCATGAATTAACTTCATGACTTAAAACAAGCATGTCCTTATTGTTAATGAACCACTTTTATATCTATTGAAAAGGGATATTTTCTTTCATAAAAAGAAGGGTTTTTATACACACATATCTAGTTTCCTTTTTTGACATGTAATTTGATTATAAGGACTGTAAAGAAAGTAAAAAAAAAAAAAGACTTAACTTGACATAAATATATTTTTTACATTTAAAGGCTTGTGAAGAAAACAAATATATATTATCACCGAATATGGTGTGTATGTACCTAGTAAGAGATAGAGAGAGAGAGAGAGAGAAAAAATTACAATGAGTAATATAATATAATATGATAAAAAAACAAAATAAAATATATCAAAATAAAAATAATCAATTCTCACATTTTTACAGCTATTCTTACTTGTTTTTTATCCTCTCTATCTTTCTAATTTTTTTCCTTACAATATTTGTTACAGCTTTTACCTTTTCTGGAGTATCAACAGATTATTTCCAAAAAATGACAAACAAGTGTATGAAAAACAAAACTTCATTATCACATGTTAAATTGCAACCACGCCCACTAATGTACTAGCGCTGTTCAATAGTCATTGTAAGTAAAAACATCTATCCCCCACTACACCAAAATAAGAAAGCTAAGGTGTGAATTCAGCACGTATATAAATGTTCAAATGGTAAATAAAGTAATTAATGATTGGAGGATGTATAGAAAAAAGGGTACACTTTTGTTTGTAGTTCTTGGTTCCTTGAAAAACTCATGTACATCCCAAAGTTTACAAACATATAGATAGTACCAAAAAAAAATGAAGATGCCTATACGTACCTCAGACTTTGGTGTTGGTCCATCTTGGATATATCTGTCAGTGAAAAATGAAAGGCTTCTGACCATGACAGTTGTCTCAAATTGGTAGCAAATGGATTCCCCCACCTGTAAGTTTTGGCAGATAAACTAGGGAAATGAACTTGTGCAGACTTATCCCCAAAAGGTTGATTGAACACTTTCATTTCCTCTAATTGCATGCTCTCCAACACCTCTTTTGGAACCCCATGATTAACTACCTGAAAGAAACCCCATTTACTTGCAGCTTCTGCAATTTCTTTCATGCATTCCTCTTTCTCAAGATTTAACTTCCCAAGATCGATCAATGGTATCTCACATCTCTCTACCGTACAGAAGGAGTAGTCATTCTTTGAATCCCCAACGTACTTTTGCACAAGGGTCTTGTAGGTCTCGAGGAATGGAGGTTCATAATCCATTTGGGAGCTATATATATGAAAAAGAATCAATTATTCGGCATAAATATGTGTGTCACAAATTATATTGACAAGAAAACAAGCAAACATTTAATTTCGTACTTCAATTGATTCTACAGCAGACTATGTCTTTTTATTAATTTCAAAGAACAGAATTTTAAGCAAAACTCGAGCTGAAAATGTTCCTAGTTTGTGGTTCTACTAGCTATCACTGTTGCCCTAATTTCTATGATGCACACAATTCACACACATCTATGGAGTTTTATCTATAAACTAAGACCTGAGACTAATAATTAATATACTTCAATTAATTCTTCTCGCTGATCGCTACAGACATGCCTATATAATTAAAAATTTAACCATGAATATGAAAAGCTTCATAGTCACACCCACAAGATGATAAAAGAATGCTATATACCTCTGAGTAAGGAATCCGCGCGGCAAAAGAAACACAAGTATAGAAAAAGAAAATGTGTAAAACGATAAGGGATGCTTTGGTAGCTACGATAAGTGCTTGATTTGTTCTAATTTAATTCTACCAAAGAAACACAAGGTAAACCGTTGCTAGAAGAAACTGCTAGCTTTGGGAGCGAATTTAAGAAAAGGGTTGATCATGAATGGGATTCAATTGTGACATGAAGTGGAGTAAAGGGTTAGTTTAGATTAGTTAATGAGATATTGGTGGTTGTACAAATATTTATATGCATAATCAATCCAGAAAGCTTGGAATAGAACTACGATTAAGTATATGGCTAAAGCAGAGAACACGCGGCTAAGCATAGCATCAGAGAAAGAGGGGACACACACACGCATGCAACCACAACTATAGCTGCGAAATCAGTTCTTGACTTGTAGCCGAAGTGCAGTGTCGAATATTAAAGCGTTGAGAGGGTCAGCAACCAGTCAAAAATTTCAATATTCGCATAATAATGTTACACTATTTCATTCTATTTACATGAAATAAATAATAATAATTATATGTCATAAATTTATATTTATTATACTAAATAGTTAAATTAATAACTTGCATTTAAAAAAAATAAATATACTTACTTTATGAATGATGGTGAGTGTCTCATTATATAAACTTGATAATAAATAAAGGTATTAAAATATTAACTATAAGTATCTAAACATATATTATATTTTTTATAATTTGAAAAAGAATACTGATAATTAATGCTTATGATAAAATCAAAAGTGGAATAACAATAATTTAAATATTTATTATATACTTATAATTTATATTTAGTATCATTTAATTATATTATTTTATAAAATAAATTATAATTAAGTCACTCTCCACTATTAGGCAATTTATTATGGAATAGTAAGAAGCAGGTGAAGAATAGCAGTATTTGGATGAGTAGATATTTTATAAAAGTTTTTGATTTACTTATACTGTTAGTCTCTTTAGTTCATACAGTGTGTGACTTTAAGTTTTTAAGTCAATAAACGTGTTTTTGCATTTTTTGTTAAACAAACTTAGTTTTGATGTCAAATTTCTTTTATTTAAAATCATTACATTGTTTATTTATCAAAATATTTGAAGATTATTGATGAGTTTGAAATATAATATAGTTTTAAACTTTTGAAAGTTAAAAATTTAATAAAATTTAAAAGATTTATAGGATGTGATATTATGATTTAAAAAGAAAATATTTGATTTTATTTTGAGAAAATTATATATTTTAATTAATGAGTTTTCAGAAAAAAGATAATATAATTAATTGCATTTGCAAAAATTTTATCATTTTGCGTAAAGAAATTTTTTTTAAAAGTCATAGATAGGGAAAAAAATGATAGTGAAACTAAGTTTACTTAATTTTAAAAATATAAGAATTGAAAATTTTAAAAAATAAAAATTGTGCATTTGTAATCTAGAAATAAAAAAAGACAGAATATAGTCAAATCATAACTCGTACGTATAATATATTGGATAATATTTTAATCCACGGTAATTTTTAAATAATTCGAATAAATACATCGTAAAGAGCATGTATTTATAACGAGCCTTGTTATACTTTTTTTGGTTCATTTATCTTTTAATTTTTGTTCTTATCAATTTGTAAAATAAATATTGAATAAAAAGTTATATATATATAGTCCTTAAATATAAAATATATTAAATAACTTTTCCATTTAATAACAAAAAGATTGATAAAAATAAAGGATAAAAGGTTTAATTTAAAATTATTCATTTATAATTCCTCTTGCCCTGGATATAATGTCTTTACACGTATCATCCATCGTCTTTCCCCACTCATTAAAGATTTGATCGGGTTGTCAACTTAAAGGTCCACGACTTATCTTTCATCCCACCACCTCATAGATCATCTCTCTCTACCTTATCTTTACTTTAATTTGTCCCTTTTCTGGTAAAGATTTTGATGAGTAAGACACATCAACGTTCTCTTTCGCACCCATTATAGCTACATTAATTAAATTGAATAATTTTGCATGTGTACTTATAATGAAATGTTTTAAATAATCGACGGCAAATTTTCCTTACTGTCATGCATTAATGATGTTATCGGTGGCGTAATTAATCATCAATAAGTTTCAATATTGTTCAACAGTTTAAGCGTCGATAAATTCTTTGACATTAATCTGTTTACAAGGAAACAAATATGCACACAACATATTAATAGCTTATTATTTACCAAACAACTTTGAGACCACCCATAAAAATTGTGTAAATATGCAAAATATTGTTGTAATATGATTGTTGTGTGACTTTACACGAGAGATCATGTCAAAAGCAAAGAAAGTGAAGATTTTTATAGTTGATATATGTAACCTAGCTAAGTGTTAGTGGGTGTAGTTATTGCCTGGTTAGGAGTTCATGTAACAAGTGGATATCGAGTTGTAATGTCATTTCTCAAGTGATTATATATATATTATGTGTTTTAATATACATACTAATAATGTTGCTGGATATTTTGTGATTGCAAATCATCCGTGAATTCATTCACCATGAATGCATTTGTCGACGCTTGGTTGTTAAATTTACGTTAGATAGATAAAACCTTCGTTAATTAATGGAGGGTGTGTTAATTAATCACGTTGACAGATGAAATAAGTTCTAGATGACTTTGTCTGAGATTTCGTATGCCTAAGTAGTGATGTACTTTTGGGATCTAATATCAATTCTTATGGTAATGGCAACAGGTTCAAGGTGATATTATTTGAGATCCAACGTGCCCAAGTAGTATTAGACCTATGAGATTTGATGCCAAATTTAATGGCGGTAAAGATTTTGGTTGTTTGCCCACACTTAATATTATGTTGATCCTTGATTATGTTTCATTTTTATTTTTTGTAATTTCTGTCTTTGAAAAAAATACTAATCAATGGTTTAATAATATTGGTAAATGAATCATAAAAAATTGTTTAAATATTATAATACATTTCTTGTAATTTCAAATCCAAATCATTGTTTTGATTAAAATATTATTCTTGCTCAAAATTTTTGTTTGACGTTCGAAATTTTATACACGAATTTTTAAAAAATTCTAATATGTCTTCAAGAACACATAATAAAAAATTAATAAATAACATGAATTTTTAAAAATTCAAACATTTAAATTATGTATGCATAAGATCTTATCATATCATGTAATTTTTAGTAAAATTTATCAATACTTCCTCTATTTTTTCTGTTAGCTTGATAATTTTATTTTATTTTATCAAATTAATGAATGATTAATATTTTTTAAAAAAAACAACATTAATAATTAATATCTATTTAATGTAGAATAAATGAGATAATTAGTATAATAAATAACTAAGGATAAAATAGAAAGTTAAATGATAACTTTTTGTGAAGTTAAAAACATGAATTTTTTTCTTAATTCATATGAAAAAATTAAATGCCAAAAAAAAAAACAAATGAAATGTATAATTTTTTCTAATACACTCGAAAAATCATTAAAAAATGGTTGATATTCTAAATTCATAAAAATTATTATTTAATTTGTTATTATACCATTTATCTGTATTAATTAATATCTCACTTTTTTGTTATCCTCTATTAAGTAAATATTAATTATTAAAAATAAAATTATAAAAAAATTCAAGTATTTTTATTTTGACAAAATAATAAAAATAAACTAAAAAACTATTAAAGTATTAAAAAATAAGAATACGTGATATTAATCCATCAAAGTTTCATAATTTTCAATAAAAAATTATTTAATCTTTAAACACATTAAAAAAATTAAATGCTTGGATAAAAGTTTTAAATAAAAAATAAAGCATAATTAAGCATACTGAACAATAAATTTGAATAATAACTTGTATAATTTCGTGTAAAGTTTTTTCATTTAATTACGTGACATGTTGATATGGATGTTATTTAAATATATTAATAAATAAAAAATTGCATTGACATATAATTATTAATTAAAATGTCCATAAAATTTATTATTAATTTATATAAAAATTATATCTACCATATATTTTAATTAGTTGACCGTCTGCACCAAAATTAAACTCCATTTGTATTTAAACAATAATTTACTACATTAATGTATATTCATGTAACTTTTTTTCTCTGTGATATACATAATTAAATATCGTATGTAGCGTAATAAAAAAAAAGGTTAAAATTATAATTTTGGTTCCTATTAATCATGTTTAATTAAAAATTTCCATCAATATATCATTTGGTTGTGTAAAATTACTTTATCTAATTAAAAATGAAAACACTATCATTATAATGAATATCAAACTACTATAATTTATAAAAATAAAAATGGAGATAAGAAAATATTTCATTATATCTCCACTCTTTTGTATAAAAATAAACAATAATTTATTAAAACTAAGGAAAACAGTTAATAATATTACATCTATTATTATTTATTGTTGAGAAAAATATTTTATTTATTTATTTATCAATATAAAAATTTAAGATAATACTATTTATTTTATTTTCATTGATATTATTTTGCTTATATAGAAATTTTAAGTAAAATAAATAAAGTAATTGCTCTAGTTAA